TTCTTCTCGGGCCGCCGGATTCCTCCGAGGCCTCCTCCGAGCAGCGCCCCCCGCACCCTCTCTGAGGGAGAGACCCCCCCCCAGTGGGAAAGGGCTGCTGATGTGGGCTGGAGCTTGGAAGGGGGCGTCCTCATGGGGGCTTTCAGACTTTCAGAGACCAGCTGCCGTCCCCACCCACGGAGAGAGACCCCCAAGGCGGTAATTGGGGGAAGGTGGCTTCCCCCACCTCTCTCGCCTGAGATTGCTTTGGGAGGAGGGGGCCGTATTTTAACACCGTGTTTTTTGGGAGGCTGCCTTCTCAACAGTCCGTAAGTCCTTCCTCGAGTCTAGTTCAAAGGTAAGGGGCACCTTGGGAAAAGCGCCCTGTATCTTGGGGAGCGTGCTCTAGATAACCCCCCAGGGGCATTATGTCCCCCCAACCCTCTACGCACCTGTGGAACTTTCAGCACTGGGGGCTTCAAGCCCCTCCCTCCAAGCCTGTCCATGGGCTTAAAGGAGAAGATGGTCTTCGTGTCCCCTCCTCCACTCTCAGACCGATTCGCAACAGGGCAAACCTCAGCGGCAGACGCGCCCTGGACCCAGGAGGGAAAGGGGCCCAGAGGGCTGAGAAGCCTCCACTGGAGGCAGGGGGCGGCCCAGACCTGTCCCCCCTCCTCAGGGCTTGTTGGGGTCAGGGGCTGGAACCAGTAGTAGGGCTGGGACCACAGGCAGCTGCTGCAGCAAGAGCCGGGCTGGACCCGGGGTCAGGCAGGTGCGGGGAAGGAGAGCCCTCAGACCTGCGGGGGGTTTCCAGAGGAGCGTCCAGCCTCTTCCCAGTCCCCATCCCCCCACCTGGAGGAGGTCTGGGATCCAGAAGCTGAGGGGCCTGAGGGAGTCTTCCCAGGGCAGGCTTCCTGCTTCCCTCCTGCTGAGGGTGGTTCTCTGGGGCGGGGAGCGGAGGTGGGGGGGTGGGGGGATGAGTATTCTCAGCAGCCCTGCGGTGGTTCATATTTTCCCTCCTGCACATCCATCTGTAGCCTGGGAGCTCTGCAGCCCCTCACCATGTGAGGAGCCCCCACCCCAAGTGTTGGGAGCTCCATGGTGTGTGTCCACAGGTGTCGGTGACCCTGGGCCTGTGTAGCCAGAGGCTCTCTGTCTTCTGTCCCTGGTAGTCCCTCTAGGCCACATACAGTCAGCGCTATGAATGGGGTGGGTCCTGAGCTGCCCCCAGGGCCCCTCCTGCCCTGGGGAGGGGCCAGTGCCCCCACAGAGGTCCCCTGACATAAGGGCCATTGGGTGTCCAGCTTGTCCCCACATCAGGTTCGGTCATGTAGGATCTGGTACATTGGCTGGAGAAATAAAGGGTGGGGTTTCCAGATCTTCCAGGCCCCAGTGCCTGCCTAACTCCCGGACACAGCCTGTGCTGGTGTGCTGAGGGGCAGTCAAGGCACCAGGAGGGGTTCTCTGGGTCTGGGTGGAAGACTGGCTTTTTCTTGGGAGGCAGACAAGACGGGGGGCACTGGGGTGGACGGGCAAACAGGCCTCTCCTGGTGGTGCCAGCTCCCCTTTGACCAGTGTGGGTGGATGGACCCGGCAGCTGCAGGGGTCGGGGAGAGGTGTGCGAGGAAGGCTCCAGGTTGAAGGATGGGTCCAAAGGGCCGGCACCTGGTGGAACCTGCCTCTACCTGCACTCTTCTCAGTGTGGTCTGGGGTCGCCAGGGCCTGGCTCAGCCTGGGCAGCAGCTGGTCTGGAATGATGGTCACTGAGGCTCAGGAAGGAGGCCTCCAGGGTCATCCACTGCAGCCACCCCCACATTGGGCTGGATTTTCGGTTCTCCTAGGGGCCCTGCCTGTCTCTCTGCAACCCCTGACAGCCCAGAGTTGTCCAAGCTGCTCTAAATGCAGAGGCAGCCACATCCGGCGTTACCTCACCCCCCAGGACTCCCCCCAGGATAGCCGCCTCGCCTGGCGCCAGCCAGTGACCCTCCCTCTTGGCCAAGCTGTGCGACTCAGGTGTCCGGCTGTCATGTCCTGTGGGCTGGGGCTGGCAGGGCAAGGGGAGAGCCTCCTGGGGTGCCTCCTACCTCTTTGGGGTCAGGCTACCCTCCTCTGCATGCTGCCCGGCGGGGGTGAGGACAGCGGCTCTGGCCCACTATCCAGATGCGAAAACAATGGGGTTGTGGACTGCAGTCGGGGTGGCCCTGACCTCAGAGCCTCGGGCTGGGGGACTCCCTAGGGCTGGTGTGGGTGTGGCAGGCTGTGCTGGGGGAGGGGCATCAGCAGTGTGTGTCTGTGGGTCTGTGTGTGGTCTGTGGGTCTGTCTGTGTGCCTGGGTGTGGGGTGATGAAGGCTCTAGTGTTGGAGGCTGCCCAGGGCCTTGGGAGCCAGGCAGAGACTGGACTCTGCTGTGAGGAGATGGGGCCCATGGGGCATAGAATGGGGGTCCTGCTCGGTGAAGTCCTGGTTCGACACTCACCAAGGGAGGAGTCCCCAAGACTTCTCTGGCCACTGAGCTGTGGCCCCAGCTCCATCCCGAGGGGGGGTGATTTGCAAGTCTGAGTGCATTCCAATGGCTCCAGAACCCACCTCAGGCTGGCCTGGGCCAGGTCGGCTACTGCCCACCCTTGGGGGGCTGTATCTGCAGCCCCTAACTCCCCAGAGAGAAAGGTGGAGTAGGGGGGCAAGCTTTCTCTGCAGATGTGGGGCTGGCCTGGGTGTCGAGTGGAAACTGCCCTCCCTGCCGTCCACTCCCTGGACAGGAACCCCAGGCTCCAGGGGAAGCCTGCAAAGGATGCTGGGTAATCCCCCTCGGTGGCTCTGGGTGGGGGCTTGGCTGGTCTCCGGGGTGGCGGACCTCCCAGGCACTGCCCGGGGCACAGACCTCACAGGGTCCCACCGCTCAGCCCGGCTGCTGCAGCAGCAGGGAGGCTGGGATGGATTACTGAGTCCCAAAGGGCCGGACCCTCCTGCTGTGGGGGGTGGGGGTGGGGTCCCTGTCGGACGAGGTCCTGGTGGAGGGGACTCTGGTCTCCTAAGACCTCAGCAGTGGAGCCAGGACGTGCAGTTGAGACCCTGCCTGTTGGTCCTCGAGACCAGGGCTGCAGGCCTGGCCCGCGTCCTCCTGCTGGTCTTTGAGGCCTCTCAGAGGGCCGGGGTGGTGTTGGGGTGGGGAGGGAATTTGAGGTGTGGGGTCAACCTCAGCCTCTGCCCTGGGGTCAGAAGGCCTAGAACCCAGCGGGCGCACGTGTGCACGCACATCTCTCCCAGTGGCAGGTCTGGGGGTTCAGTGCTCGCCCCGTTCAGGGCCTTCCTGCTGTCAGCCTAGGGTGCTGGGCCTGGGGTGCACAGAGCTCCTGGGCTTCTGAAATGCTGTGGGCCTCGCTCCTGGGAAAAGGGGGGGTGGGCAGGAGGGAGTGGGCGCGGGCAGCTCCCAAACTTGGGTTTGGGGTCGTTGCGCCATTCGCCACAGTTGTGTGGACCTGAGAGCCACACGTAGAGCTGGATGTTGTGGGAACTGGGGGGTCATTGTGCACTTGGGGGTGTCGGGCTGGCTGAGAGTCTGGAACCTTTTGAGAGAGTAGAGGGATGGGTGTGCTGCTGTCACTGTGGGCATCTCGGGTGTGTGCTGATAAGAGGGGCCACTGCAGGTCCGAGGGGTGCTGTGTAGGGTGCCAGATCTGCCCCTGAGTGCTGTGGGGCCAGCAGGACTGAGCAGGGGTCGAGGGGCACAGGGCCTGTGGATGTGGGGGCACCAAATGCAGCGTGTGTGAGGAGGCCCGCCCAGTGAGTGATGGGGAGGGGCAGATGAACTGTGGACGGTCGGGGTTAGGTCCCCTGTGGTGACTTCTGTGGGTGTTCCAGGTGTCGGGGATGTTGCAGAGGCTGTTTCCAATGCTGGGGTGCTGGGCTGCACGGAGTCGGGGTGTTGAGCTGTGTTGTGCAGCCGTGTGTGTCCTTGGGGTGTTGCTGCGTGCCCTGCAGCCCCACTTGGTGCTCAGCGGGAGCTCCATGGGAACCGGCTGCTCTGCGTCTCCGTGGCAACAGCAGGGAGGAGCCAGGAAACGCGGCTCAGGAAGGAAGGCCACGGCTGAGCGGAGGGAGCCGAGGGCCAGCCTGGCTGAGCAGGCGCCAGACACTCTGTCTGTCCAGTTGTCCTGTCCGGCCCAGCCAGGCCCGGCGCTCCTGCCCCTGGCTCCACCCCCCCATGCCACCCGATTTGGGCCCGGGGCAGCTCTGGTGTGGCTGTCTTCATTCAGATCTCCGTGCCCCAGGCCTGGGTGTGCGGGTCCTGGTCCCCGGGGGCTCCTGGTGTGGCAGACGTGGGGCTCTCTGTGTGCCCTGCATGGGGCTGGGTGTTGGCACACTTGGGTCTCCTGGGGCCCTGCCCTGCCCTGGGCTAGGCTGGCCTCTCACTCTCCTGCCAGGCTCTGGTGAGGGTCCTCAGCTGCCCTGGGAATCGTGGAAGGAAGGAGCAGAGCCCCAGGTGTCGCAGGGCCACGTGCCCTGGTGGGCAACTGTGTGTTTCTTTTCTTTTCCTGGCTTTGGTGACAAGTGGCTTTGATGGGCCATCCGTTTGGATCTGCCAAATGGGCTGGGGGGCACGTCTGTGTTCTTGGGGACCATTTACTCCTTCTGGCTCAGGGGCAAGAACCATTCATTCATCCTGTTCATGAATTCATTTGTTCATTATCAAGCAGCCACTATGTCCTAGGCCCTGTTCTAAAAGATAAGGATTTGACAGCAAATAAAACAGACCCAAGTCCTTGCCTGTGGGGACCTCCTGTTCTGATTGGGGGAGGGGACAATCAACAAATCCACAACCAAATCAGAATAGGGGGCACCAGGCTGTGCTGTGTGCTGTAGAGAGCGGTGCTGCCAGGTGTGGAGGAGAGAGGAGCTGTCAGGGGTGCTCAGTGCCTTTCCTTTCATGAGGTGACATTTGAGCCAACCCCTGAAGGAAACATGTGAAAGAGATGAGAGGATACATGGGGAAGAGTGTTGTACCAGAGGGAGCAGAACGTGCAAAGGCCCTGGGGCAGGGAAGTTTGCTGGTGGGAAGAACAGGGAGTGCAGAGGGGAGGGGCTGAGGGGCTGTATGGGGCCTGGGATGGTCTTGCTTTTTTCTCTGAAAGAGACTTGGTGACTTGGGAGGGTTTTGAGCAGAGGAGGGGCGTGATCTGTGCAGGGCAGGAAGGATGGACTTACCACCAGGAGAGAAGGGCAGCGGATCTGCTCCTAGAGTTGTGCCTGGCCAAGGTCACCTCCGAACGCCTGGCTCCTAGGCCCCGCAGTGTGCCTCCCCCACGAGTTTCCCTGATCCGTCTCCAGGAGGGCAGGGCTGGTGTGCTGGACCCCTGGGAGGCACTGCCTCAGGGACCCCTGGGGAGAGGGAGGGTGGAGTGGCCGCCAGGCTGGCGGGCTGGCAGGGCAGGGAGGGCGGCGTTTCTGGGAATTGTGTGGGGGAAGCACATTGTTAGAGGAGCCTGGAGCAGGCCATCAGGGCCGCTGCTGGCCTCTGGGGATGCCTCCTGCCTCCCCCAGTGCTGCCTCTGGGGGAGGGAGCTGGCCCTGGGCCCAGGCGCTCTGCTGGGCTGGGGACTTTCCGAGAGATGCTGCCCTGGGCAGGCGGCCCTTCCCATTCTGCGGACGGGGAGACCGAGGCCCGGAGCGAGGGCGGCCGCAGTGGCAGAGCCAAGATGTCTGCTGGTGCGTGGACGGGCCTCTTGCTGGGTCTGAGTGCCTGGTCACGGCGCTGCCTAACCTCAGAGGCTTGATGGGGTTGGCTGGGGTCACCGTGGTGGGGACCTGTGGCCCCACGGTTGCCTGGGGGGTCTGGTGGAATAGGGTGCCGAGACAGCTGGGTGCCTGGGCTGCGGGGAGCGGGGCTGGGTGGGGGCTTCTGGGGCTGCAGGATCCCCTGCCCCCACGGCCACGGGAAGTGAGGGGCTCCGTGTGAGTCGGGCAGCAGGGTCCTTCCCACCGAGGCCCCTGCCCAGCCAGAAGGGAAGCACAGGTGCAGCTGCTGGGGTCACGGCCGCTGTAGGCGGGCGGGGGGCAGGAGACACAAATAGAAAAATAAATGGCCTGAGCTTCCGATGTTTCTCCTGCTGAGGATGGGGGAGGGGCTGGCCCCTGGACCAGAGGTGTGGCCCAGGCTGTGCGGGTGGGCTCTGGGGGTGTCGGGGTGTCCCCAGACCCTGTCCTATGGTTGCCCCCTCAGAGCCCGCAGGCCAGGGCTCCTACAGACAAGGGCTCCTGAGGGCAGACCGTGTGTCTCTCTCCATAAAGGGGTCAGTGTGGACGACCCTGCAGGAGGGGATACACCCCTATGGGTGAGCTGAGCAGGGTCGGCCCCGGGGGGTGGGGGCAGAAGTGGGGCCTCTACCTGCAGGAACTGAGGGAGGCCCCCCGGCAGTCGGCTGGCGGAGTGTCCAGGAGGGTGTTCTGGAGTAAGGCAGGTGGGGTGGGTCTGGGAGGTAAGCGTGCCTGTCCCCCACCCCTTGGGGGCTCCTTCCCTGCTTGGTGCTGAGGCCCCCCTCCCCTACACATCCAGACCCAGCCTGGTGTCCGCTGGACTCGGCACCTCCTTGTCAGGTTCAGTGGGCCTCCAGTCTCTCCTCCACACCTGCTTCTCTGCCTGAGCCCATCTCAGCGGGAGGTGGAGGGTCTGGGGGTCCTGGAAAGGACCTCCTTCATTCTAGGAGGTTCCGTGTGTCAGGCCTTCAGCCCAGAGCAGTCTCTGCAGGTGGGGGTGGGGCCTGGCGTTGGGGCTCCCCTGCTGGGTGGCGGCTGGAAAGTGTGGTCCCTTCCCGCCCCTCTCCACGCCATCATTCCTCCTTCCTTCATGCGGTGAGTTACTGGGCACCTGTGAGGTGTCTGGGGTGGGGGGTGGCAGGGGGTGGAACATTAGCCCTGTTCTCCAGCCGAGCGGTCGGTCAGTCCACGATGACTCCGTGAGTCTGTGTGCTCCTGCCCTGTGCCGGGAGGGCCCTCGAGTGTGCCCATGTGGGCACACGTGGACAATGTCGTGCTCCCGTGTGACCTGGGTCACGTGTGCGTGTGTGTGCACGCCGGTGTGTCAGAGAGGAAGTAAAGTTCTTCACCTGCAGGGGGTCGGGGTGGATCTGGAGGGGCCCAGCTCTGGCGAGTGCCCTGTTCACACGAACACCCCAAAGGAGACTCCCCTGGTCCTGATGTCACCCTCCGGGTGCAGCTTTCTGAAGGCACAGGAGGTTAGGGGCCCAGGCAGCTCGCTGGGGGATGCTCCTTGGAGGAGAACGTCCTCAAGGTCAGATAAGGTCCACGAAGGGTCGGGGGTAGGCTGTGAACATCCTGAGCAAGGTGCCGGGGTCCTGAACTCAGGGGGGCCCGAGGACTAGGAACTTCTCAGGTGGGGAGTCCTGCCTGGGCTGGAGCCCTGGCAGGCATGGGACCCGCCTACAGCCCCACAGTGAAGGCCGCGCTCCAGGACGAACCACAGTCCCACTCTGGCTGCTGCCTGGCTGGCTGTCCAGTCTGTGGCTCACTCCCGCCACCTACAGGTCACTGCTTATCGTGGGCCACACAGGTCATGGACCAGGGTCACCCCACCTGGATCCCGCTCACCCCGCAGGGGGCCATCCCCCTCCCCCTGTGGTGGTGGCTTCCATGCAGGACCGGACCGGGTCAAGATTTGGGGCTCCCGGCACGGGGAAAGGGCTGTGGCCTCCAGTTCCCTAGCTTGGAAGCTCCCTGCCTCTTCCGCTGCCCATCTTCAATGGCCCTGCCCTGGGCTAGGCTCCCCGGCCGCCCCGCTGCTGCCCTGCGGGCTGGGCCCTCTGCTGGGCACTCCTTGTGCAGGGGACCCCCACCTCCTGGCCGTTGTCCTTGAGGGGCCACAGCATCTTGGTCTTCCTCCATCTGTAGCCTCGGTGGGCCTCAGTCAAGGTCCAGTGAGACATGCCAGGCCCCGTACGGGCTGTCTCTGTGGCCCTCCCTGGAGCCCCCGGAGGTGGAGACCACCTTGCTTCTCATGCAGGGGGAGGAAGGGCCCAAGGTGAGTGGTCTGGGATTTCCACTCTGGCTGGGCAGGGCAGGGCCCTCGTTCTCAGCAGATGGCTCCTCCTCCTGCTCTCCGTGTCCTGACTTTGGTGCCACATAAGGGGGCAGCATACAGTAAAATTCACAGGGTTACGAAGGAAACCAATTACACTGAAACACACTTGTCAGGGTATTTGCTACAACGTGTGTTGTAGACACCTGATGCCGTTCCCAGCAGTGGTGACGCGGGGTGTGGGCAGGACGGGGTGATGGCTCTGGTCTGTGCTGTGGTCAGCACTGGCACTCCTGTGGGCCGTGGTTCCCGCTCCACGCATGACCGGAGGAACGCAACGCTTCCGCTCGAGGTCAGTGGAAGGGAGATGGCGAGTCCTTCCCACCTGGTTTCTTTTCCAACAGGGGCTGATCCCTGACCCCCAGGCCGAGACCCCATGCTGTTCTCTGCCCCACCCCACCCAGTTCCCCTCCTCGGTTCCCAGACCTGCCTTGTCTGTTTCCCCACCCCCCACTTTCCCTGTCCTGAGACCACCCTCCTCTGTCTCTTGTGGCAGCTTGCATAAGGTCATAGGGGCTGGGGTACAAACTCCAGACCACCATCCACTTCCCAGTCCTGGGACACCTTCTGCACGCTTGGAACAGCCTCTTAACCCCCTGAACTCCTGCCCTCCTCTGGGTGCCCATTGCTCAGCGTCCACCCCTGCTGGCCGGGAGCCTGTGCCTCTGCCACCTGTGGACAGAGGACAGAGACCCCTAGGGCCCCACCTACAAGGGTCTTCATTCTTAACCAGCTGCCTAGGTCATGTTTGAGAGTCACATCTTTGTGGCTTAAAACATTGAACCCGGCCTGACACTCAGAAGCATCCCTCACGCAGAGCCCTTGCAGGGGTGGCCTGCCTGGGGCAGGGTCAGTCCTCAGGCTGGTTTTCCGGGGTGTCTGCATGTCCGTTCCCTCCCCAGCACTCTGTGCTCATCCTCCTGTGGAGACATCAGATGCAGCCAGCCTCGAGGCTGGCTCCTCGACAGCAACCTGCCCCAGATCCTGCCCTGACTGATGCCTCGGAAAGTCACGCATCTGGAACAAATCCTTCCTGACAGCCCAAGTGATGCTCCAGAGGCCCGTCCTCTCTTTTCTGACTCTAACCTTAGGGACTGGAGGCTGCTGTGAGGTCTCCTGGGCATGCATCTGCCTGCTCCAGAGGGAGGAGGCTGACCGTGTGGGTTTATGCTCCCTCCCCGGTGCTCCCACCTTCGTCAGAAGCCACAGCGGAATCCAGCACCTCAGGATCCCCAGTCATGGTGCTCGGAGCTCTGCAGCCCAGGGGAAGTTCTGGCCAAGAAATCCTCAAATTAGCTGAACCCCGCCTGTCGGGAGGCCTGGTTGGCAGCCTCCGTTGACGTGTCCTGGTGGGCAGTGGGGAGCCAGCTTGGAAGCCCTTGCAGCCTGGATTTCCGAGGCTGTGTTCTCTGGGTTCCTGCTCGTTCCTGTTTTACAGGACCCTGGCCAGCTCCTTGTTTTGGCCAGTCGTTTCTTGTGGAGGGGGTGGTTGAAGGGTGTGTGACTCCACAGTGTCCCTGATGTAGCTAGACCCTCAGAGGCTGCACACACACTCCGACCATGGGATTCTGGCCACAGGGACTTGCTTGATTTGGTGGGCTCAGAGCCCCCAGCTTACAGTGAGGGGCAGAATCAGAGCTAGTCTGGAAACTGGAGGTGCTGTGTTTACCCATCATAGGGCCTTTGTCCTGGAAAACCTTTGCTCCCTATGAGGAATTCCATGCTTTTTCCATATGATTACTAAGAATTCTTATAACTCACCATGTTTCCCTTTTCACGTTGGCTGCTGGGAAGCTCAGTCATATGTAATTAATGCCATTGAACTCAAGGCATAGTCAGCCCAGGTTGTCTAGACATCCCATTTGCCACCTGGCTTCACATTGACTTGACCTGAATTTCAGTGACTATGGGGCCCACAACACTATAGACATCAGTCCCCTGGCCTCTACTCTCCCCCAGAATTGTGCCCCCTCCAGCAAACTGCCAGCATCTGCTTCACTGAGGTGGGGATGTGGGCCCTGCCCCTCTCTTCCTCCAGAACCCTCCCTGGGCCAGGGCCATTCCTCCAGCTGAGTGCAGTCTGGCCCTTCCCAGGGACGTCCAGCAGCCACCGGGATGACACCCTAATTGCTCATGCTCCGTCCCCTGCCCTGCAGAGTGCCCGACGTGAAGCAGCTCCGCCGTCCTGACAGCAGCCCTGCGAGGCAGACACCGTTACCACCCCTATGTCACAGCCGGGGAGACTGAGGGAGGGAGTAGTCAAGGACTAGTCTGAAGGGCAGAGCCCGAGTCCAGAGGCAGGGGCCTTGCCCACGCAGCCTCTCCACGTCCGCAGGCGCCTTCCTCACCCAGCGCGGGCCTCCTGCAGACCCCGCGTCCGGCGACTGCTCCCTCCCGCTTCCAGGCGCCCCACCCGAGGCCGCCAACCCCGGAATCCACCGCAGCGTAAGGGGTCGGCGCAGGGCTCGGGGGTCTCCCGCAGGTGCGTCTGCGCCGGGAGGCCGGAAGGTGAGAGAGGAGAGCTCAAAGGGGCCGAGGAGAGGGGACTGGCTCGAAGGGGCCGAAGAGAGGGGACTGGCTCGCAGGGGCCTCTGCAAGCCCCGCGCACCTGTACCCGGGCCGCTCCGGGGCCGAGGGTCGAGAGAGAGACGCCCCGGCCCCGCACCGCCGCAGCGCCCTCCACCAGCTAACCGGCTCGCGCGGGGGCTTGTGGGATTGCGAGTCTCTGGGTCCCGCGGGCCTCCAGCGACGGGCCGCGTCGGACTACACTTCCCAGGAAGCCGTGCGCGCTGGCGGGACCTCCTGGGAGTTGTGGTCCGGGCGGGACGAGCGCTCGCGAGGCGGGCGGCGCGGGAACTACGTGTCCCAGGATGCAGCGCGGCGGCCGCGGGGCTGGAGTTTGAACGGAGGGTCTCCCGCCCGCGGCTGGACTGTGGTGGCTGCGGCGGGTGCGGGAGGCGGCGGCGGGCCGGGGCCTGGCCGGAGGCTGAGGCCGGGCTGCAGGCGCTGGGGGCGCTGCCCCCCAGGCGATGATGGGCAAGGAGGAGGAGATTGCGCGGATCGCCCGGAGGCTGGACAAGATGGTGACCAAGAAGAGCGCGGTGAGGGGCGCGGGCCGCCAGGACCCCGGGACCCCCGCCCCGCCGAGCCCCCGCCGAGCGCCGAGCCCGTCGGGCCCGGGAGACCACCCGAGGGCAGGACGAGACCCCGACCTGGTGGAGACCCCCAGACGCGGGGAGACCCGCCGGGGGCCGAGACCCCTGCCCTCCAGCCCCGCGCCCTTGGCAGAGGCTGCAATCGGCCTGGACCTTGTCCTGGGCGCCGCCCGCCCTGGACTCGGACCCGCAGACCGGGGGCCGCCCCCTCCGTGCCCTAAGCCCCGGCCCCGGCCCCGCCCCTCCATGCCTCGCGGGCACCCCCTCTTACCGGCCGGCCCGGCCCGCCGAGCCCACCCGGGTCCCCGCGCCCTCCTTGGGGGCAGGAGTTCGAAGAGTGAGATCGACCCTTTCCCGGAGCTCAGCGCCTCCAACCCCGCGGCCTGGGGCTGCGGCCCTCGTCACCCCTTCACAGGCCCGAGGCCTCTCTGGTGGCAAGGCCGCGTTTCTTCCCTGTCTGTCCCCACCCCACGACACCCGAACCAGGTTTCCCTAATAAATTCTTCCCCTCCCTAGCCAAGACTCAGCCAGCTCCGACTGGGAGTGGGTGGACACGTAGAGACCCTTGGGAAACAGTCTCGGAGGTCTGAGGCTGGCCTGGGTGTGCTGGGTGCTGGAGCCCCTGGCCAGCAGTGCTGGCCCTGCGGCCTGGGCTGCTTGTGCCACAGCCGGCCAGCCTTTGGAGGAGGCTGCGCCAGGTTCTGAAAGGGGCCAGGCAGACAGGGTTCCAGTCCCAGCGCCCTCAGCTTTGAGACCTTGGCAATCTGCGTACCCTCACACAGAAGCCCCTTGGTGGGTCGCACCTGCTTCTAGGGGATGAGGAGGGTCTCAGCTGGCTCCCTGAGAAGCTCAATAAACACGACCTGCTCTCTTCCCCCAGACTGAGCTCCGGGGTGGCCAAGGCATGGACTGATGCCTGTGCAGCCCCTCGAGGGCTGTGAGCCTGCATGGATGGTTTGGGGGTGGCTTTTTGGGTTGAGCAGGGTTGAGTCTGGGTCCCTGTTGACCGGGGTTCTGGGCAGAGGTCTAGTCCGAGCTGGAAAGGAGGCTGGCTCCCACTCATTCATTCACCCAGCAAGCAGCTCCCTCCACCCACATTGTGTTCGCACCCCCGGAGGCCATGGGCAGCACAGAGCAGCAGCGTGGGAGCAGTAGCTTTTTCCAGAGACGACCAGAGAAAGAAGGAGACAGAACAAATGATAAACGCCCCCGGAGGGGGCGCCGAGTGGTGCCAGGCAGAACTGGGGTAGGGTATCCAGGTGGAAGCACAGCATGCATGGAAACCCCGGGGGAGGATGAGGAAGGAGAGCAGGTCGTGACTAACAAACCTCCGGACTGGGAAGGCCAGTCGGCCAGGGGGCTTGGGGTGCTGTGGAGTGAGGCGTGAGAGCTGGCAGAGGCTCCTAGGGGGTCCCAGGGCCTGCGAGGCCCCGCCGGGAGTGGGGGCCGTGACTGGGAGGTTGGGAATTACTTTTACCCCTCTCTGGTCCTTACCCCATGGGAAGCTGGCGTTACACAGCAGCCCGAGGTTTTGTCTCAGGGAACATGATCAGTGAGCGGCATTGTGCCTTTGGCTCTGGTAACCATCTGTCCCCTCTGAGGAGGTCACCCCAGGCTGGACTCTGCACAGCCCAAGGGGCAGGGCCTGCCAGGGGCAATGAAGAGGGGGCTGCAGCCTGAGCAGAGATGCCACCCAGATGGGTGACAGCTGCAGGACTTCTGAGACTCTCACAACCTTGGGGGTCGGATCATCTGCCCGCTTCACGTCATGGGAGAGACATGCACACGTGAAAACACATCAGTGCGTTAAAAAGTGAGGCATCTGTGGAGGAAAGCAGGAGAAGAGGAGAGGGCGTTAAGTAGGAGAGGCCTTGCTGAGAAGGTGTCATTTGAACAAAGCTCTGCAAGGAGGGAGGGCACAAGCTTGTCAATGTCCTGAGAGGCGTGTCCCTGGCAGTGGGAGCAGCAGGTGCAAAGGCCCTGGGGCAGGCAGCTTGGCTCAGTGGAAGAACAGGAGCTGTGCCTGGAGCAGATGATGTGGCTTGTTTGTGTGTGGCCTCATGTGAGAGGGCTTTGAGAAAAGAGATGGGGGAGGCGAGGCAAAGAAGGGAGACCCAGGGTCTGTTGCAATAGTACAGGCAAGGGGTAGTGGCTGGCCTGAGAGATTGATGAGGGGGTGGGGCTGTGGGACTTGTAGATGCTGGTGTGGGTGTGATGGGGGTGGAGGCACCCTGAGGGTTTGGCTTAAGTAGGGGACACTGACTGTTCCTGGGTTGGACCTTCTCAGCTGAAGAGGGGGCCGCTTTGGTGGGGAGGCTGCCTGACCCACCTGGGCCAGGGACACGGGACCAGACAGGGGAGTGAGCACCCCTGGGGCTACATCTGGCCGTGGTGCTCCTGCTGGGGAGGGGCTGCTGCCCTTGAAGGTGTTTCCTGTTGTCACAGTCTGGTCAGTGACCAGTGCAGGACCAGAAGCCTTGTGCCCAGTGCCTGTGATGCTGGGACTGGGTCTGCAGGGCCGCTTCCCTTGGCGTTCCCGTCCTCCCTGGGCACCAACCCCAGGTGGATTTCTCGATTGTCACTGCCTCGTGTCCCCCCATCCTCGTGTAGGAGGAGGTGGGATTGTCCACTGAGCTCTCGAAGTCGTTTATGAAAGTCCCTCTTGTCCTTCCAGGAGGGAGCCCTGGACCTGCTACGAGAGCTGAAGGCCATGCCTGTCACACTGCACCTGCTGCAGGTAGGGCCCTGCGTGACCCCCGCCCGGGACAGCTCCTGGGACAGCTCCCGGGCCTGGCCACCCTGGGCCTTGGTTGGCACAAATGCCTGTTCCTGAGGAGACTGTCCCTGCCTTCCTCTGATGCTCAGTGAGGCAGGGAGGGGCGTCCGAGGATAACCCACCCTATTCCTCGCCCAGACTCCTGGGTTCCAAAGGGGACAGTAGCCCTCGGGCAGGGCGACCTCCCCTCGCTGGTCCCAGCCCCTGCCCCGTGGGGGCCTCCCAGGGTCTGTGAGGAGGGTCTGACTGCCACCCCCATCCCAAGCCACTTGCCTTGCAGTCCACCCGCGTTGGCATGTCCGTCAACGC